AACCCTCATACAGAAAAGCAGGTTTTTACGCCAACTTCTAACCAAATTATTAGTTTATTACTATTTGTTTTTTTGCTGCTTGGAGTTTTTGACCATGCCTTGGGGCATCTAGAGTTAACGATGTGGCAGTTGTTTTTGTTTTCAATAACAAAATCAACTATGTTGTTGAACACCCCCTTATTCTTTAGTAAAAATCAAACAAAGAAAGAGAAGTATTCATTTACTACAATATTCAAAAGCACAGTAATCAAGAAAATCGAAAAAATAGGTCCAAATAAGAAGTTATTCTGGAAGCAATACCAACCACAAGGTAGTCATGCAAAACCAAGATATTGGTAACAATGGAGGTCAACCACCGAAGAAACCCTTGAGAAGCATTGTGTATACATTCAAGCAAATAGTCTTCATGACAAACTTTATATCGTTTCCATGAATTTACCAGTGAGATGGACTTTGAAACCAGAGATCCAGTGTATAGAAGATAAGTCAAGTCAAGTGGAAAGAGCACAGCATACCACTGTTTCAAACATAAAATTGCATTTCAGCAGGCAGATTTAGCAACTATTCACCCCTTTTCCCAATCTGCAGGCCATAAAAGGATGGGATTCGATGACTACCACAAGCAAAATTCATTGTTGGGGATAATTAGATAAAAATATGAGAAAATCCGTGACCTAAAAGACAGATAACAAACTTTCAGTATTTTGTACATTACCATTTGATCCACATGGATACCATAAACACCGCATATTTTGGCAACAATAAACATCCTAATTACAGCAAAATTAAAATACCATGACAACATAACTCCATTCACAAGTATGGCTTGATTCACACGTCAAAGTGAACCAAATGTTTGCTTTCATTCACAAGTATGTTTTCAATTACATGTCCAACAAAAAAGAAGGAAACATATAGTTTCGATCACATGTATACTTTTATTTATCACTCCAATGAAATATCTATGTAAGGGTGCATTTTGATCTCTATTCATGTTCCCAAGTATAAAGCCTAATGTTAAGAACAACTTTATGTTGATAACACAGTTTGATCACCAAGAAGATATGCATCGGATTGCAGAAAAGAGATGCCCATCATATGAGTGGCCTTTCACCATGTGCAATATAACCCAAAAAATGGATAATTATGATCCTTAAAGGGGCTCGAACAGGCAAGCTAGAAGACAGTGAGCATGGAGCATCATATGAAAAGGAATCTCCTTACCATAAAAGCAAGGCATATTCAATCTTCAATTACTAACATCTTATTATCATAATGAAGAGATGAATCCCAAAGGACCCAAACACTGTAAGAATAACATAATTTTTATTATAAATAAACAATATATACAACAGAATGTTAGGCTGAAACATCACCTAACACCATGGACAATGCTTAAACCCCACTAAAACCCAGTATTAATGTCAACTGATTATCCCAATAATAATATGAACTGATTACAACATAGACCAAATCAAACTCTCTCTGCTCACCCCTTTGTTTGGCCATCCCATCTGCTAAGCCACTGTACTGTGTATATTCACAATCCTTCTTATCTAATTAACAATGAGTGATCATAATGAATTAGATTAAAACTGTCACCTGATCAGCACTTATTCCTCATTACACTATGATACACCTGTAGGTACTCCATGCATTTTAAAATTCAATCACACCATGATAACTGCTGGAACCAAACTTCTACCTCCGGTTGCTTGAGGCAAGCAAATATAACCTTGTTGCTGACAAAGTTACTAAGCTGGCAACAAACCAAAAGTGATTCACTTGGATATTTAAGACGATGCATGTTCCTTTCTCTATCCCTGGAAACAAACCTATCAACCAAGAACCAAAACACCATGTGTAAAAATATAAGCAAGAAAATGTAAAGGTTATTTTATAATTTCTTATCATGCCACAGGAAGTTTTTGCAATAACATACATCTTAGAACCATCAGATAGTGCCTGTTTAATGCTCTATCTGGATCACAAAACTGAATTATCATCCATGTTGGTTCTATAAATTCCAATGTAGGAGTGTACCAACTAATGGTGGCTCAGTTGGTAGGGTCTCTGGCTCATTGTAGTGGAGACTTGCAATCAAATCCCGCTGCTACCCAAAGGGTCATAGCAATCAAATCCCGCTGCCACCCAAAGGGTCCTGTTTAATGCATGTTTTTACTTGATTTTGTTTGCCTGGAACCTCCTAAATCAGATAGAAGAATTTGGTCTTTGACCTCAAGTGGCTCAATCTTATTTCTGTCCCTATGCTCTACTCCTTCCCCTTTGTTGTCCCAGTTAAAGAAGTTTGGTCAAGGCCAATTCCACCTAAAATTGCCGGTTTTTCTCTGGGAAGTGTATTAACTATTATGGTAAAATTAATATTGTGGACAACGTACAAAAAAAAGAAACCTTATTCATGCTTGTCCCCCAACTGGTGCATTTTATGTAAAGTACAGAACGAGGACTACTATCACCTACTAATTTCTTGCTCTTTTACTGCAAATATTTGAAATTGGGTTTTTATACTATTTGGGTACAGGTAGAACCTGCTTCCTAAGTAAATCTGCTTTTTGACCTGTTTTTTTTTTTTTTGTCAACAAAGAGGGGGAAGTTGATGTGAAAATGCATTAGGGCAGCCCTCTTATGACCATTTGGGAGGAAAGAAATGCTAGAATTTTCTAGGAGAAGGGGAGAAGCATTGTTAAATTAAAGGGGCAACAAAGAGGGGGAGTTAATGTGGAAATGTATTCAGGCAGCCCTCATATGGACCATTTGGGAGAAAAGAAATGCTAGAATTTTCCAGGAGAAGGAGAGAAGCATTTATGAATTAAAGGATTGTATACTAACAAGGGCAATCCTTTGTCTAAAAACTATTGATCTCTTTGTGGATTACTCTAGTGATGACCTTCGAAGGAGTTGGGCAGCAGTGGGCTCCACGTCATCCAAGAAAAATAAAGCACAAGCAAGTTGGTTACCCCCTCCGGAAGGGATTGTAAAGTTGAACTTTGATGGGAGTAATCAAAGCAATCCAAGACCTTCGGGTATAGGAGACTCTACAAGGGCTGAGATATGAGCTGCGGTACAAGGACTACAGATTGCCAACCAGCTTGGAGTGACTAATTTGATAGTTGAAGGAGACTCTAAGGTGATAGTGGATGGATGTCGGACCCAAAAACTGTTGTTTGGGGCTAATAGGGACATCATCAAAAAAGTCAAATGGATTACAAGAACCATGTCAGTTAGATTTCAGTGGGTTAGTAGATCAGCAAATGCCTTGGCAGATTCTCTAGCTTAACAAGGGGCTTCAAGGGATTCTCTGTTTTTAGGCTACTTTGTAATTGTAATATGAAAAGAATTGGGTTTGGAACCACCCTTAAGGGGAGGTAACACCTCGTGCCTCTTCTTAGGGTGCTTCATACTTGTACTATTCAGCAAGTAAGTTTGGAAATTAGGCATAAAGTACAGGACTGGAGATTGAAGCAGGACCAGGTTCTGGCCTGACCCTTTGTGTGATGAAAACACCTCAGAATTTGTATCCCACTCTTTTTGTGTATCTCAAGACAAAGAGGTAATAGTAGCAGATATGTTCATTAATGAGACAGGTGCAGTGTATGGAATCTCATATTTAGAAGAAACCTTAATGATTGGAAGGTGAATCAAGCAGTATTTCAAAAACGTATGTGTTTGCTCCAAGCAGTTCGGAAAATGACAACAGGGTTTGGAAATAGAGCGAGGATGGGGTCTTTTCAGTTAGGTCTTTTTATAACAAACTGATAGGAGACCCAGGAAGAGTGGCTTTCCTTAGAATAGAATCTGAGGTACAGTTGCCCTAGCCAAGGTAGCCATTCTGTTGTGACCGGTGGCCTTAACAGGTGCATGACTGCTGATAATATGATGAAGGGATGGACTGTAGATAATACTAACTGTATGTTTTGTGATGAAGAGTTAGAAATAGTGAATCACATTTTTTTTTTGCACTAGTGTGATTTGAAGACTGTGATCAAGGTTGTTTGATATTTTTGGAATTCGATGGTGTTTTCCATTCCCAGAGACTATGTTGGAGGCCTTAAAGGGCTTGTACCTTCATGGGCTAAGCAAAAGAGGAAAAGTTGTTTGGGGAATCATGCCTTTGGCCTTGGTATGGACAGTGTCGCTGTAAAGAAATTCTATAATTTGAAAGATGTGAAAAAACAGAAGATGAAATTGTCAAGGCTCTTTGGGACAGAATCTATTCATGGGTTGCAGTGCATAATTTGTTCAGAAACATACCTTATAGTACTATTTTTTGCTTACAATACTCTTTTTTGTAATTACCAAAGAGCAAGCTAATGCATAGACTTTTGTTTTGCACAGCTCCTTGCTGTGTTTGGGTGCTATTGCTGTATATGTTTAATCCTTTTATTTTAATATATTACTTTACCTTTTCTCAAAAATTAGAGAGAGAGAGAGAAGGAATGAAAAGAAAAGCTCAACCTGACATCTGCATCAAAATGCCTTGACTCCACTGCTATGTTGGACTGCATCTTCTTGTCTGGAAACAAGTTGCAAAAGAAAAATGAAATTGAGACATGTTCATTACATGTAAGAAATACATATAAGCATTTATATATAAAGTCAAAACCTGCATATACTTATTTCATCATCTACCATGAAGAGGGGTGAAAAAAGCTTTTCATGTGGCAGACAATGGCTACCATGCAGATTGTGACATACAAGATTTACATAAATCAGATGATCATAACCATGATCATTAAGGGGTCACCTAGGCCCCATCTAGGTGACAAGGCGAATTTTGGTGGGCTACCCACAATGCCAATGGTTATATAAAAAGGGAAAACACAATAGGTATGAAGCAACCACCTAGGCAACAAAACTTACAAGAGTGTGTTGTATTCTAACATTATTATGGATGCATATAATTAGCATGGTGATACACCCTGTCATATACTATGTATGTTTTTTTATCAATAACCAGAAATTTTCATTAATTAATGAAAAAGATACAAATGAGCACCATGGAGAGAGATAAACTCTCTTAGACCTCTCCAAGATGACAGAAGAATACAGAAATTACAAAACAGCCTAGAAAAAGTTGATCCCTTCGGCCCTTCCCACCCCTTGCTTTGCTAAAGCATCAGAAAAAGCATTTGCACTCCTTTTAACCCATTGCAACTTGATCTCTATATCTTGTGTTAAACACTTGAACTTCCTCCTTTCATTGACAAATTCCCACCAATCAATCTCATCTTTTTTGCAGCCAGTTAACTACCAACTTTGAATCCCCTTCTATAATCAATCTTCTGACATTCAGCTCCTTCGCCTTTTGGATTCCTTCCATCACAACCAAGATTTCTGCCATCAAAGAACCTCCCACATCTATTGGCCCTGAGTAGAAGCAATAATTCCTCCCTTCTCATTCTGGAAAACACCTCCAATACCTGAAGGGCTCAGACTCCCCTCACTACTATCATCGAAATTCAGCTTAATAAACCCACTAGGAGGTGGGAACCAAACCAGCCTGATAACAGCTTTTGGAAGAGAAGAATCAGCCACCTCCTCCCACTTCCTAAGCAAGTCATTTGTGGAAATATCATCAAAACTACTCAAGGGCTTAACCCAATGGATCACTCTGACGGTAATGGCTTCAATGCTTGCTTCTCTACTCCTCTAGTCTGAAAAAATTATTTGATTCCTTTCTTCCCATATTGTCCAGTATGCTGCAGCCCTTGTACATCTCCAAAGAATTCTCCCCCTTCTCTTCCTCCAATTGACAAATGAAGAACCAAACAAGCCTAGTACATTTGGCAAGGGGTTCCACCTGCACCCAAATAAAAAGAAAAATCATTCCCAAATAGAAAAAGCAAAAGGACAGGAGATTAATAAGTGGTAGATAGTTTCACCATCAGCCCTACAAAGGGTGCACCGATTTGGGGAAAGGCATCAATTCAGTCTCTTTCTTTGAAGAAGATTACAAGTATTGATTCTTTCCAAGAAGACTCCCAACAGAAACCACTTACCCTAGGAGGAATGGGCTTGTTCCAAATCTCCTTAACCGGAAAAACCATCACTGAACTATCAAAGGGGTGGGTCAAAGCCAAAACGAAGGAAGCACAGGAGAAGGAACCAGAAGAATCAATATACCAAATCCTATAATCCAACTCTGATGGGTTCAATAACACACCATCCAACTAATGAAGTAAAACTGAAACACTACTTAATTCAGCCTCCCAGAAGCCCCTTCTAAAACAACAAATTCCGGGCATAGCCTGACTTGAGCTAGAAGGTAAGAAGAAGGAAGACACAAACTCATCCTTAAGGTTGGACAGGTTAAAAAGAGAAGGAAATTATTCCTTCAAACGGGAGACACCCAACCACACATGTTCCCAAAATTGAACAAGGCTACCTGAGCACAGGTTGTATCTAATGAAGGGAAAGGAAACTAGAAGAATATCATGGATGGATTTCCAAGGTCAAGTTCTTGGTGCTCTATTCCACAGTCCAACATCCCATCCATTAGCCGCAAGCCCATGAATGCTAATAATCACCTTAGCCCACAATTTGTCTTTTTCAGCTAGCAATCTCTATAATCATTTCCCTAAAAGAGCCATGTTCCTTTTCTAGATATTCCCAACACCAAAACCCCCAAATTTTTACTCCTACTCACCACCTCCCACCAAACCCTATGATCCTTCTCCTCACCAGGCTCCTACAGAAAGTCCCTAATTAATTTTTCCAATTTTCCACTCACTCGTTCTGGAATTTTGAACATTGACAAGTAGAATACAGGCAAATTGTTAAAGTGGACCTAATCAATGTGATCCTTCCCCCCAAGGACAAATAGATTTTCTTCCAAGACGCCAACCTTTTAGTAAATCTTTCAAACCACAGGATTCCAAAAACTAGCACATCTTGAATTGTCACCCAAAGGAAGCCCCAAATAAATCAAAGGCCATTGAGACACCACACAACCTAAAACTTCAGCATTATCCGATATTTCCCTCTGATCCATATTTATCTCTGCAATGCAACTCTTATCAATACTCACCTTTAAGTTTGACATTCTCTCAAATAATTGAACCACCAATTTCAAATTTCTTGTCCACCTACTATCTCCCCCTTCACAAAACAAGATAGTATCATCTGCAAACTGTAAATAGGCGATTGGCACACCCCCCTACCCACTTTCCATCCCTTCACCAAGTTCCTAAAATCCACCCTAAAGATTTGTCTTCCAAGAACATCAACAATCAAAATGAAGAAGAATGGGAAAAGTGGGTCCCCTTGCCTAATTCCTCTAAGGGCAGGAAAATGATCAACAACTTTCCCATTCACCAAAATAGAATAGTGACAAGTCATGATGCACCCCTTAATCCATTTACACAATCTATCTCCGAACTCAAAAGTTTTCAAAACCTCCAATAAACAATCCCAATCCACCAAGTTTAGGCCTTCTCCGAATCTAGTTTTCAAACAAAGCATTTTTTCCCCACCTTTTTCATTTCTTCAACACTTTCATGAGCTATAAGGATCAAATCAATGATTTGTCTATCTTTCACAAATGCCCCTTTTTGGGGAAACAATGGTAGGGAGAACATGCCTTGTTCAAAGAGAGAGCACCTTTGCAATAATTTTGTAAAGGCTATTCACCAAACTGATGGGTCTAAAATCCTTAGGATGAACAGCATCAACCTTCTTTGGATTTAAGGAGAGAGAAGAAAAAGAATAAAATATCATAAACAAACCGATAAAAAACAAATTATTATTAGAAACAACAATAACAAAGCTGAAGGTATGTTATTTTTTTATTTTTTACAAAGAACACATCCTACATAATTTGTGTTTCTAAAACGGAAAATACCAGAAGCCGTTCATTGTTACAGTCAAATATGCTCTATTTTCTATGCAACCTAAAGTGGAATTCAGGAAACAAATAGATTGATGATATTTGGAGAAATTGGAATTTGTTGACTAGAAGCTCATCCAAGCAGGAAAAAATAAAATCTGTATGGCTGCCTCATCTTGAGAGCTATGTGAAGTTAAATTTTGATGGGAACAGTCAAGCTAACCCAAGTACCTCTGGACTAGGAGGGGTTTTGAGAGACACAGAAGGAACACCATTGCCTTGTTTTCTGGCCTAGTGGGTATGAGTGGCTCTGCTAGAGTAGAATTGCTTGCTGCCTTACAAGAAGTTCAGATTGCAAATGAATATAATGAGTGTGGTGATTGAAGGGGATTCAAAATTGGTAGTGGGGTGGCTAAAGGATCCACAGTCAATAATTTGGTGAAAAAGGAGCATGATCAAAAAGTTCCAATGGCTCACTAGAAACATGAATTTAAGGATACAATGGGTGAGGCATCAGCAAATGGGATGGCGGATACATTAGCCAAGCAAGGGGTGAATAGAAATCAATTGTATTGGGCTCAAATGTCATTTGCTTTTTCTTTGTTGTGGAGAGGTAGAATCTAGTGCCTCTCTAAGGGATGCTTGTAATGTCTGTAATGTTTTAAGTTATTATCTAATAAAATTTGAAGTTACTTATTGAAAAAAAGTTACATAGACATCAATGAGGAGAATAATCTCAACTTATCATAAACTATTTCAAACTCAAACCATTGGGCTAGAGTGCTTAGTGTGAGGATAAAAACAACCATTCCTATCACCACAGAAAGAGCTCTACCCAAAAAGATAATAAAAACTTTTCTCTTAAAGCAATCTAGAAGAAGTAAAACCATGAGTGTCTGGTAGCTGTAAATAGTTATATATTTGCCATAACAAAATTCATAAGATCAAGAAGAAATATAAATTACAAAGTTACGCAAAGAAAGAAAAAGGCAAAAAAAGAAAGGTAGGAATCATATTTAAAGATGAGAAATAGTTGGGACAAAGCTCAGGTGATGAAATGAACTTACAAAAAATACCACACAATATTGAACACAATTAATGTTGATGACATGTACCAGAGGCAGCCCATGATTCAGGAATGAAGTCAAAGAAAGAAAACACGGAAAGCTATTAATGTGTTTGGATAAGCTTTGTCACCAACTCCTTTTAGTTTCTTAGGAAAAATGCAAAGTTTGGTATAAAACATTTCCAAAGAAAAAAAAAAGGAAAAAGAAAAAAGTTCTAGTTTACTCAGAAACCAAATTTAATACAAAAAAGGAAAACCAGCAAAAATTTTCAGGAACCAAGGATTCACTACTCTGTGCACAAAGGAGAAATGCTTACCTACATTTCAAAGTACAACTCAAAAGACACTTCTGTAATTCTGATCAATAATCATATCCAAACATATGCTGCACTATGGAAAAATTATAAAAGAAAAACTGGCAATTCATGTGATGCAAAAATCATACTCACCCAGAGAAACACAGATTAACACCTTTTTTTTAAAGTAGATTAACACTGTTTGATATATGCAGATTTCCAAAATCCCTGAGGCATTCAATTATTATCTCCCATCATGAGATATCCAATATGACCATATATAATTAGTACCTAGATCAACAATCCATAAAGGATTAACCTATCGGGAAAAAAAAAACAATCCATAAAGGATTACATAACAAATAAGGGACTATATACATATCCATGTAAGGGACTAACATGGTTTTTCATGTGCATAGAAGAGCATATAAGAAGTGATTTTTTGCACGTTAAAGGGGTTAGAAGGGCTTGGGGTAGACCAAAAAGGACATGGATAGAAGTAGTAAGGAATAATTAAGCGCCAATAATTTAACGATGGAAATGAAATTAAATATAACAGAATGGCGAAACAAGATTCATGTAGCTGACCCCATATAGTTGGTATAAGGCTTGGATGATGATGGTGATGATGTATATCCATGTAAGTAGCCTGTCCAAAACATTCTCCAGATGTATAGAAAATAACTAAGCATCTTTTTCTTGTCCACCACAAATGGATAGGGGCCCTTTAACTGCTTCCTCAATCTGACCTCTCAAACACAACCTTGGCAAAATTCTGCAGGTGATTTCATTAGGATGAATACCCTTATCCACCATTTTTCTAAGAATCCTTGAGACATCATCAATCTGTCCGTTCTTGCAGTACCCAGTTAGAATGCAGGTATAAGTAACAATGTCAGCTTCAATTCCATTTTCAATCATTGAATTAAGAAATAATTCTGCTTCCTGAAGTTTTCCTGCTTTGCACATCCCATCTATAATTGTACTACAGGTGATTACATCAAGATTTTGTTTTCGAGACTTCATATGTTCAACAAGATCCAGAGCCCCCTTCAGATCATGGACCCTGCATAAACCATGTATCAATGTGTTGTATGTCACTACATTTGGTTCAAGACCATGTGCTTCCATTTCCTGCAACAACTTCTGTGCAGTCTGAACTTGCATAGATCTGCAAAATCCATCAATCAAGGTATTATAAGTAATAACATCAGGCTTGTACTGTTTGCTTTTAATTTCTTGGTAGATCTTTGTGGCTTCCTCCATTTTCCCAATTTTGCAGAACTTGTCGATTAATATATTGTAAGCAACAATATTATTTTGAAAGCCTCTCTCTTCCATGAGATGGAAGATCTGAAGTGCATCTTCCAGTCTCTCCCCTTTGCAGAGCCCATCAATCAAAGTATTGAACGTGAATTCATTAGGCTCAACCCCTTGTTGTGTCATAAGATCTAAGAGCCTCAGTGCTGCCTGTAAATGTCCCTCTTTGCAAAGACATTTCATGACACCTGTGTAAGTGAACACATTCGGACTGATTCCATGGCTCAGCATGTCAAGTATCATCTCATTAGCTTCTAGCCAGTACCCTTCACCACAGAGACCAAGAATTAACACTGTATAGGTATGAACATTAGGAGACAAACCTTTTTCTGGCATCTCGTAGAATAGCTTCTTGGCTTCACCAATCAATTTCTCTTGACAAAGCCCATCAATAAGAGCTGTATACGTTCGCACATTTGGTCTGAGACCCACCTTAGACATTTTACTAAAAAGTATTCTCCCCGCTTTAATTCTACCTTCCTTACATAAACCAGCTAAGACATTGTTATACGTATCCACAGTGGGTCTCAAACCTAATTGCAACATTTCCCCAAGTAATTGCAGCCCTGCCCCTGATCTTAACGAACTACAAAGATAATTAATAAGGATAGAATAAGTCCTATCATTTGGACTCGGCCCTTTCTCGTGCATTTGAGACAGAACATTAAGAGCATCACTAACTCTATCCTGATTACATAAACCCTTGATCAGGGTATTCAAAGTAACCACCGTGGGTTCATAATCACGGCTCCGAATTTCCTCAAACACTTGGTAAGCAAGATCGGTTCGGCGGATCTTAGCGTAGTAATTAATCATTATATTCAATGTAATCAAATCAGGCTCGATTCCGGATCCTTGAATCAAATTGTACAAGGACAATGATGCTTCGAATCGATTTTCCTTGACCAGAGAAGACAAAACGCAGTTACAGGACAGAATTGAAGGCTTGATGCTGGCCTCGAGCAAGCTACGGAGAAGAGAGACCGCTTCGTCGAGCATGCCAGACTTGCAATAGCACTTGATGAGGTCGTCGGTATCCAACCCACTAAGCTCGTCGGGAGAAATTGAAGGAAGAGGAGCGGAAGTAGAGGAACGGATCCAGAGGTTTCGAAATCTAAGCGGAAGGAAGATTATAGAACAATGGGTTCTTCTACCCGTAAAACCCATAGCTTTGGCGTAAAGCAGAGACCTGTCCCAAAAGCCCATACAACCAATAATAGGAGAGGTCCGAAGTCCTTGTCCAGAGAAGTTAAATTGAATTCTATGACCTATATTGGCTAACCAATCAGTAGCCTGGTTCCCTTCTCTCCAAATATGAGAATGAGATACACGGATGTTGAGAGCATGCTCCCTCTGGATCCTCATGCATTACGGAGGTTCTTCCTCTTTGTCCAGCAGGCAGTCAATGATGATCGTCGAATCCCCATCGCTTCACGTCGCTGACTCGCCAATTTCTGCAGCTAACTTCAAGAAATCATGAAACACCCAAATTGCCTGAACGAGCTGCAATGATTGCCCAACCTAATTTGAATGCTTGCAATGCAGACGCGGGAATAAAACCAAGCGCCTGATTTGATTTCATCGGTACGAGACGAGAGTCGATGTAGTGGTAATGGGGCCGGACCGGCATCATGTCGGTTCCATGTGGTCGCAAATGAAAGCTGGGGACGTAAGTGTCACACTGACCCCGGTATTTGCCCCTATTTCATTTCTACTTGGCAATTTGGCATATTACATCACTTTTTTACTCTGGTACAATGAGAAATATCCTAAATCTAAAAAGAGAGAAATTGGGTTTGGATTTTCAGTTTTTTGTGTGAATCTAAAAGTGTGAATGTATGGGTTAAATGGATCGGATTCTGATCCGATTAGATCCGAGATCCGTTCTTATTTTGTCGGATTCGAATCTTCTCTGTTCGGCTCTTCGGATCGAATCATATTAGAAATTATCATCCGATAAAAATGGATTGAATTTGGATCACTCCCTATCGGATACATATATATATATTGCATTTTTGTAAATTTGTCATATTAATTTTTTTATAAAAGAACATGTATATATGATGAAATTAATTGAAAAGATACTTGAATTTTTGCTTTTCTTTTTTTTAATTATTATATTTTATTTTCCTTTTAATAATTTATTAATTTTTAAGAAATTTAAATCAAATCATATCAGATCCGAAAATCTGACTTCTTCATCAGATTCAAATTTGAATCCATACTTATGAGATTCGATCGGATCTTCAAATCAGATTGGCTCAGCTTTTAATAGTGTTGGATCGAATTCAGATATATCCTAATTTGAATCCAGTCTAATCTATTTGCATCCCTATGTGAATGGGTCTTATTTTCTAAATTTTTTGTTAGATAGAATTTACCCCATTGATCTTGAATTATCATGCGGGCGAGTTTGTATTTTAATAAAAATTCTTTAATTGAGACAATAAACCAAATGAACAACATTAATAGAAAATTTAAGACTCAATATATATTACTACTAAAAGTGTGAATGAGAGTGGAATTTTTTTTATTTGACTAAAATACCCTATTTTTTTAATTTGGTTCAACTCTCATCGTAAGAAGTAAGAACATAACAGTAATTTGAACAATCACTTTTCTGCTCATTCAAATCCTTTTCATTAAGTCTTATATTTAAAGTATTAAATCCTTTTCTTAACTAAAATACCCTCGTCTTTTAAATTTGGTCGCTCCAATTTTGAGGGCATAAAATGTAATTTGAACTACTACATAGTTTACTTTCTCCTCATTCATTTTCCTCTCATTAAGGTGGTGCTTTAGAAAACGACCTTTTATTTGGCACCGCTATTCCATAAAAATGTTGCTTTAGACCACACCTTGGAAATCAAGAAAGTGTGGTCTGAAGCAACGCCAAATTCAATGTTTTCTCATAAAATAGCCTATTGATGCTAGTGGTGCAATGATGTGGCATCATCTTGGATGCTGGATAGTATAACCAATGCTGAAAATGGTTCTACAACACTGGTACCAAACAAAACCAGTGTTGTTTTTCTAGAAAACAACCTATGTAGCAGCATCGCTTCAAAACAAAAAATAAGCATCGCTTTCTCTATTTTTAAGAGAAAAATGGTGCGGACACATGCCCAACACCGTTTTTATGAGAAAATGGTGTGGTCAAACACCTACTAATTAAGTCTCATATTTAGGGTATTAATTCCCATTTTTCATTGACTCTTATATTAATTGACCATATTAAAAAATAAGTTTACAAATGAATAATTTTGTCTTGATTAATGATAGAAATAAAATACAAATTTAAAATCAACCCAAAACAGAATTGTTTCCCTATTTGGTAGAAAAAAACAAAAGTATAAAAATACAAAAAAAAATATAGAAGACATTTGGTGTATCTCTGATATCATATATTTATCATATTAAACAAAAATAAGTGTAATAAATAAGAATATAATTGTATAAACTTTTGGAAATGCATTATTTAATATATATATATATATATATATATATATATATATATATATGGACTGAATAAACACTTACATACATGCATATATACATAAATACATATATTTATGTATGCATATGGATATTCATATATGCTTGTATGTAAAATATACAAAGTTCCTATTTAAAGCTTTAAATTAGTGATATTAGATAGATTTATGCAACTTTTTAGTACATTGGGCCTAATAGGTCTACTTGAGCCCAATTAACCATCCAGACCCAACCTCGGCTCAGGCCCAACTTGAATATGTCAATTTTCAGTTCATGTTAGGCTTGGTTGGAAAAAGTAGAGATTGACATCGGGCCTGGTCTGGGCTCAGACATTAGGCCCAATATTTAGGATTGGACTTGAGTTAACCTTAAACCCAACCCAACCTGCTTGACTTGCACTCTTTTCCTAATTTAGGAATGGCAATGGGGTGGGGCAGGGCTGGGTTGTGATTGCCCCATCCCTGACCCCAAACTCAAATGCCCCACCCAAGCCCTAGTGGGGCTAGAAATCACAACCCCATCCCTGCCCCTATGGGGAATAGGCATCCCCGAAATTGCCCCACCACGCACCGGTCAGGGTTAGGATCAGGGTAAAGGTAGAGTAGACAAATACCATCCCTACCCCATCCCCCATCCCCCATCCCTAGAGTTTCAGGTTTCCCCAAACCCCGACTAGTGGTCAAAAAACACATCCTAATTGAGGCAGGGCCCCATGGAAGTGGGTCAAATTGCCATCTCTACCCTAATTCTAGTGCATGAGTCTCCCCCAATGCGGGATCTGGGGAGGGAGAGATGTACACAATCTTACCCACATAGATACACAAAGAGAGAGACTTTCTAATATTTAAAATACACTCTAATCAAGTTTTAAAATATCAATAAAAACGAAAAAAAATTGCATTACCCTAAACTTTGGGGGTAGTGTCAAGTTAGTGCTCGAACTTTCGAACGTGTCACTGTAGTACCTAAACTTTCAAAAAGTTTCAAGTTGGTCATTACCGTTAATTGACCGTCAGTTATCTATTGAAAATGTCAAAACTACCCTTCAAAAGAAGTCACAGTTTATTGTCTTCTACTTTGAGAACAAGGATTAAAGTATCGGTATCGGGTATCGTATCGGACAAGTTGGATACGAATATGGATACAAATACAAATACGAATACGGATACGGATACGGATACAAATACAAATACGAAAACGCTTGGGAAACACATGGATATGAACGAAAAAACATGGAAACGCTTGGATACACTAAGGAAATGCAAACAAATTCTATAAATATATTAATAGAATTAAGTTTAATGTCAAAACAATTATAGATAATATATAAATATATAAGAATTGTATATTTAAATCATATATATATATACATATATATAATATAATATTAACTTAAAATATATTAGATCTATTAAAATTTTGAAAATGCATATCATATGAAAATACATAAATTTTAATTACTAAAATAATTATTCCATTATTAATATTTTATTTTTATAAAATTTCAAAGTCAAAAAAATATTTTTATATAAAATGTAGATTAATGGATTTGATAGACTCAGATTATATTATATTTTCAAATACTTTGTAAACAATACTTTTATTTTTGTAAATAATAAATACATTGTTATTTAATACAAATTAAAATATTAATTAATAATATATAAAAATTTATGATATATATACCATATGCAAATTTATAACATTTAAGTATTAAAATAATTATTCTATTATGAATATTTTATTTGTATAAATTTTTAAAATTAAAATTCATTTTTGATATATATGTGTATGTTTTTGGATTTTATAAATTATTTATTCCATTGATTTATAAAATACTAATTTTGAATATTGTTTTTTTAATTTATAGTTGAAGTTTTTGAAAATAAATGTATGTTGTTTTTTATTTGCATGTATACATTAAGTTTAATAAAAGTTATTCTATTACATGTATTAACATGAAATAATAAATAGCTTTGTGGTTAATGTACATGCGCACCTAAGCAGTGGGCGCTCACCAACTTGGGTTTGAGTCATGCCCCCTTGTTTTTTTATTGTGAGACGCTCGTTGATATGCTTTTGTATCGGTGTGTATCGGCCTATACACACGACTAGCAGGATACGCCTGCAGTCGTAGCATATCTTGTATCGGTGTTGTCCGATACCAATACGATATGTCCCGTATCGGGGTAATGTATCGATATTTTAATCCTTGCTTGAGAATCAAGTCAATAAACCAATTATATTCAAAGAAAAAGAGAGAAAAAACATGAAATATGATAAAAGGAAACAATAATTGAAAGCAAAGAAATAACTAGACATGAATATGTTTCAAATCTAAAGGTAGAAGACAACGGCTTCATTAGTCTAGAATCTCAAACACCTCAACCGGTTCAGTCTCAAGGTAGAAGACAATGAACAATATCTTCTTTTAAAAGATAATTTTGACATTTTCAACAGATAAATGACAATCGATTAACGGCAAAAACCAACTTAACACTTTTTTAAATTTTAGATACTACAATGACACATTTAAAAGTTCGGATACCAACTTGACACTACCCGAAAATTCAGGGTAATAAAATGGAATTTTCCTCAATACGTATCAATAATTTAAACCTTTGTTTCTAATCTCAATTGAACTATAGAAAAAATCTCTCCTAACTAGAAATGCTAGAACCTTCCATTGGTAGTTATTTAATGGGGGTAGTGACAGGGTGTAAATAGAGCCCACTAGCACAAAACATGAAGAATTTGCCTTTTACTATTCGAATTCATGCCTCTTATAAGGGATGTCTTATAATCAACTCCATATTCGAGTGGATTGATAAAACAATTTTGTTATAACATAAAATTAGCATATTTTTTTTCATGTTCAACATTTAAGCTATACTAGAAGGACCTATACCATTAAGGAAATATATGAGAAAATTTTACAGTGAGACCTCAATATTCTACAGTGACCAAGGGTCAATGGTCTTAAAACGACTTCCTTCAGTTGTTGCCTTGCCCTTTAATCATATTTTTATTATAAAAAAAATAAAAAAAAATGATAAGAGAGGAAGGATTGAATTGACATGGATCGGATCAAATATTCCAAGATCCAAAATTGATTATTGAAATCTTATTCATTTCTTCGGTAAAACAAATCTTATTTATCATGCTTAGATACCAAAAAAAAAAAAAAATTAATCTG